CGGACCTGCCGTGGGTGTTGGGCAGGGCCGTTGTAGCCCTGGCTCTACCTCACTCGGGGGTCCGTGACGCCGAGGAGCGCGTCGTAAGTATCGCCCCGTGCCCCGCAGCCGCTCTGCGGCCTTGTGCAGCTGCCTGTCGCGTTGGGCCGACCTGTCGAGGTTCATTCTAAGTATCGTTACTTCTTCAGAAATGACGACTTTTAAGACTTTTCTTTTTTATAAGTAAACTGCTGCAGCAGGCCCTGCGCTGCGAACGTGCGCTGGCAGCCGGTTTTTGTGAGCCAGGCTGCAGCCGAACGGCGGCATCAGGTGCCCCTAGGAACTAGCGCGCGTGTTGCGGTGCCGTCGCCGCAGGTAAACGGTTTGCCGTTTCAGCTGCGCTTAAGATCTTTGCTAAACTCAGCCGGGCTGTCTCAGAGTAAAAGATGTGATATAACTGAGTTTAAGTCATCGGCCATACAGCGTGTAAGCTTTCTGGTTTTCAACCCGACTAGTAATGGACCGGTATGATGATTGCTCTTTCTGAAATCTCAAAGATGACTTGCTATCAAAAAAACTGATGAAAGTACCCAAAGAAAATCTGTGCCGCGTACCTCATTTTCAAACTCTGTCCCTTTCCTCAACTCTTAAAATACTACGTTGTCGTGGTTTAACCTGGCAGGCAGCTAAACACCACGCAGCCGTTGGCTTCCTCCTCCCCCAGTGGGATGGGGGAGAGAATCGGGGGGAAAAAAAAACAGTAAAATCTGTGGGTTGAGATAAAGACAGTTTAATAGGACAGGAAAAGGGAAAATAATGATAAAAATATACAAAGCAAGTGATGCACAATGCAGTTGCTCACCACCCGCCGACCGATGCCCAGCCAGTCCCTGAGCAGTGGTCAAAAAAAAAACCCAAGTTTATGTACTGGGCATGACGTCCCATGGTATGGAACGTCCCTTTGGCCAGTTGGGGTCAGCTGTCCCGGCTCTGCCCCCTCCCAGCTTCTTGTGCACCTCCAGCCTTCTCAGTCGGTAGAGCATGGGGAGCTGAAAAGTCCTTGACTAGTGTAAGCACTGCTCAGCAACAACCAAAACATCGGTGTGTTATCAACATTATTCTCATGCTAAATCCAAAACACAGCACTGTACCAGCTACTAGGAAGGAAATTAACTCTATCCCTGCCGAAACCAGGACGTACATCAAAGTGCAGTTTCATGTCCTAGAATAAACTGTAGTGTAGAAGGCAGGTATCAGTTTATTCACTGAGTTTCTTAGGGATCTTGATTTTTGTTGTCTGCAGTAACATTTTACGATGTTAAAGTGATCATATGTGAAATTATAACTTTAAGTGACCATGTTTAGATCTTATTTGAAAAACTGCAAATACACCCTTAGCAGTAGACTTTAAGCTCTCGCTTGCAAGTTGTGTTTTCAGACTTAACTGCGGCTGGGGTGCAGGGTTGGTGCAGTTAGGTTGGACAGAGGCTTCGTTCCTAGCTCTTGCTGACAGTACCCACCTAGGCGCAGCACAGTGTGTTTCCAGTTACTGCAAGAGCTGTTTAGCTTGGGTGTTGCTGGTTTCTGTTTCCTAATTATTCCATAAAGGGATTTAAAACTGTCTTTAAAAGCCTGATGTCCTCTCTTATCTAAAGTTTCACAGACTTTGGAAGTAAGCGCTATTCTAACTGGTTCAGAAGTGAAAGGATGAATTTTTAGCTAGAAAAATGCAGGTTGAGAGTAGGGGAGAAAAAAAAAATCCTGTTTTTCAGCATACAAAAGAAGTAAGTGTGAGTGAGGTTGCTTGCTAGTCCTTGCTGTCGGCAACATTCCCTTCAGGAGGCTGCTTCAAGGTGTTACCAAAGCCACTGGGTGGGAATTCCGCATCCCCGCGGTCAGAAGTGGTCTCCAGTAAGCAAACCCACCTCCTTGGTCTAGAGAGCGGCTTACAGGGCTGATACTTGGCTGATGAAATAACATTAGCCGGGGTTGTCGGAGACATTTTGAAGTGATAGCCATCTGTTGTTGATGTGATGTGATGCTAGAAAATTAACTTTGAGATTTTTGTTGAGGAGGCACAAGTAAGTTGGTGATGTCTGTAAAAATAGTTGGTATCAAAAGATTGTCTTGTGTCCAGTACAATTTTTTGTTAAAAGCTTATGTCTGCTTGCAACTGATTATTTTCAAGGTTACCCTTGAAATAACCTTAAAATAGTATTTTTGTCTTCCTCATGGCTTGTGAACAGCGATGGCCAGAGTTTTCATTGTTCTGCTTTTATGGTATTTTTAACATGAGCCTGAGAGCTTGAGTCTGTGTATATTGAACAGCCTCGGCTCTCCTCTTAGGTCGATGTAGCTCCATGACTTTGACGTCTCAGCAGCGTAACAACTCTTGATTCCAACGCAGAGCCACTACGGCTTTTTAATGCTTTGATTTGACACTGCTGTGAATTAGGTAGTTACTTTTCCTGTGTGATAAGAGTAGATTTAATATCTCTATTCAAATATTACCAGTGTGCCTTTACAGTTAGCTGTCCATTTTTTCCCCATTTTAAAAGTATTTTCCTTTAAGCGCTGCCAGCTGATACAGAGGCAGTTCTGGGTGTATTTGGATAGCTCTGTTTCTAACACCACTTTTCTTGTGGTGATGGGAATTTAGCCTATATTAATGCCACTTCAGCTGTGTTTGCAGGGTAATCCTGTTCTCACTTTAATCATTTGAATCTTGCCCCTTAAAGTCTTTTCTGTAATGCATAAAGATTTTTTTTGTTTTATCCATAAGTTTAATAGATGGAAAAGGTTAATACAACTAAATGCTGTGAAGTTATTCTCACCTCAGTAATCTGAGCACTTCTCTTACATCATGCTGTTTGCCCTGATTTGCAGGTTATTTGAGTCGATCGTTTTTAAGCCCCGTAGAGGCTTTTCTCAATTGGTATTTTGCTCAAGCAATAAATAAATCTGCTGATGTGTATGTTCTGCCGTGTTTGCTTATTCTTGACCTTTGCTTTTTAGCCACGCAAGGGACAGTTTCGGTTGTGATGTTGTGTAACTGGGTGTTTATGCATTGACAAGCATATTTGATTTGTATTCTTAAAATTTGTGCCTGTTGCAGCTCGATCAGTTGTTCAGAGTAACGTAGGACGTGGGTAAGGGTTTCAGGGTTGGTCATGGAGAAACCAAGGACTCCTAGCGCTTTGTCATCTTCAACCAGGGAGGCAAATATGGGCTGAAAAGACTTTGTTCCAGTGCAAGCAAATGTAATTAGACTATTCTTTCCTCCTCTTTCCATATTATCTTTCTGTGGTGTACCTGTTGCTGCGTAGTGGAGAAACTCTGTTTGTTGCCATGAGTGTAATTGCTATGGCAGATGCTTGGATTTTGATCTGGTTCTGACCTGTGCTTTGACTACTGTGTCCTGTGCTCCAGGGTCAGAGCTGCCCTAAAGTCATCTTGTGACCCCCCCAAGGTACTGCTGCGGCGTTGAAATGAGTGCAGCAAGACAGCCTGCAGCGGCGTGGATGCCTCTGCCAGCTGCACTTAGCAGTGCAGTCCAGTTTCTTGAGGGTAGTCGGACTCCAATGTCCCCTGACGTTAGCAGGGGTTATGCACTCCAGGAGGAACTAGCTGGCTAAATGCTGCTAAGGATGTTGCCCTTTAGTCTTTCAAGAGGTTTTCACGCTAGATACTAATTCACTGTGTCAAACTGGTGCTTTCATTGTGATTATCCTCACTTCAGATAATGAGGAAATTAAGATGAAAGCTAAGAAATTACTTGCTTGTGGCTTCGCAGTGAACCTAGTGATGGCTTTATTCTTGTGCCCCAAAGCGATGCTTTGGCAGTAGCAGTGGTTCTTCCTCTGTGGTACCTGTCCTCCTGGGCGCCCAAGGTGTGCCAAAGCTCCCCCGTGGCCGCTTGCTTGGAAGCAGCCCTGCCTTCGGTGGCAGAGATTTTTTTCCTGGGGCAGGAACAACTGAATTCATCAGTCTGTGCAATCCATCCTGGCCACTTGCTTCTTTCCCAGGGACGAGCATAGCAGCCTTATATTTTTTTTTAACCCTACCACAAAGAAGGGGTATTTGTGGAGTAGCAGAGCTTCATCCTGGTAGCAAGGGGTGTCCTGCCTGTGATGGTCAGCTGAAGTTGGCTCACGGTTGTATGGCACAACTAGAGCGTTGGTTATAGTCATCTTGGCTGCTCTCAGCTTGACCTCCTGTTCTTGAATCTAAGCTGAAGGAATTTGATGGGAAACATGGTGTTCTAGAGTCCTTTTTTAAACATAAGTTTTGCGTTTAAGGTTTAAATTGTGGCAGCCTGTGCAGGGACAGTACAGGAGGTCACGGTCTTTGAATGGCAATGCTGGTGCTTTGTGCTAAGTAGTTGTTTCCCATTACAAGCCAAACAGGTTCTGTGCAGACAATAGGGATTTACTTGGTACCAAACTTCTCTGGATTCAACTTCACAACACTTTTTCATCTCCTATCGCCTCTGCTTCAAACCCCAGCAGCTCCCAAGGGCGGCTGGAGCACTGACTCTGCACTGACATCCTTCTGGTGCCCTCTCAAAAATGCCACTTTTTCCCAGTTGAAAAGTTTACGTGAAGATCCCTTTTGAAATCTTCAGTGGAACATCACACACCTCCACCACCCCATACTTAAGATAAAAATATTTTTACTTCTTGCAAAGATTTCTGTCCACGTAGCATTTTCCAAGGGGAGGGAAAGGCCTTTGCTGTTGAATCACAAGGTCTGGATTCTGTTTTCCACTTCTACATTAGTTTTTTAATGTGTTGTGGGGTCACTTAATTGGTCCATGATACAGTTTACCAGAACGAAATTGTTTTTTATTTTTCACCCAGGACTTTGAATTACTTTTCTTACCTATAAATATCTTACAATGTTTAATGTGCTGTTCTGACAGATCTTAAATGCGCTATATTTTCTGTTTATTTCAGACTATAAGATTCAGATATGTCCTTCATATTTGATTGGATTTACAGTGGTTTCAGTAGCGTATTACAGTTTTTAGGTAAGTTTTTATTGTTTGGGGTTTTTCTTTTCTGTTATTTTTGTAAAAAATGTCTGTTCACCTCTGTTATCTTCAAACACAGCTGCTGGTTAAATAATAATATTTGTTTTGGTGTATATTCAGTAACACTCAAACAAAAGTTTCACTTATCAATATTGAGTATTTCCAGAGCGTGCTCTCCACTCAATCTTAGGTTAATCCTTTAACCTCTTGAAAAAACTACGTTTTCTTTCATGAACATGATAGGTTTGATTTTTCTAATCATACTACATTTAAGCTGGTGTAATTCAGTTGACTTTTATGGAGTTTCTCCTGATTTTGCTCTGCTGTGAAGAACTGAACTCAGTTATTTTAGTTCAGTTCTTTTGCACGTGAGGATATCACTTGAGAATCTAAATATGAGGGACTGTCTACAAAAAATAGTGCTGGATATTGAAGCCCTTGCTCATGTTCAGCAGTGTGTTATTCTGTAACTGGTGTCACTGAAAACAGCGTGAAACTTCACTGGCATCTGCTGAAGAGCCTCAGGAAAGTATTCTCTGGCCAAAAGAGTCTGCAATCCATATCAATCCAAGGTGAAATATTAGCTTGTGCAAAACGGAAGGAAAAAAAAAAACCAACAGAGGGGGAAAAAAAACAACCAGGAGGAAAAGGAATGTTAGGATACTTAAAAAAAAAAAAAGGAACAGAAGTTGCAGATCACATAGGTAAAAGGCACAACTTACAAGTTCGAAGGATTTTATTGAAGTGGATGAAAAGCATTTGAGATTAAGGAATCATGGCAAGCTGTGCCACCTGCCTTTTATCAGTTGAAAGTTTAAACTTCTTCACTGAATGTTAGACCCTTGGCCTACTATCGAAATATTAGCCAGTGAAATTTTAACTAAATTGACTAATCTTTCTTATCTCCTCATACTTAGCTGAGCAGTGATTACTGCACGCTAGCCTGCTTTCCCATTCCTGTGCATGCAAAGTCTACTTCTGGTGAAAGATACTGAAGCTTGAAGTAGGAAGGAGAATTACTTTCAAAAATATGTCCGTCTTATTGTAGAAGAAACTTTCTGTTTTCATTCTCATTTACATTTACAGTTGAAGAAGGCTGATTATAACATTGGGAAACTCCCCACAGTTCCCTGTGCTGTCCTGTCAGCAGGCTGATAAGGTCACTTTATGAAATACATCTTTGCACACATATACTTTCAAAATGCACAAAGAAACTTTTTATATACATACATATATATATAGATAAAA